AAAAAGCGAAATTACTCTGAAATGGTTGAGAATCGGACCATGGTCAATATGAACTTTTTTGTTCATTTTAGGGTCAAGAATCTACTGGTGAAGTTTGTAGCACGAGTAGCAAGTCACCCTGTATAGCCTCATATTAAAAGAGGAACCCGATTATACTAATCTCCTTATCCTGTTAGTCCTGTTATCTGCTGAAACATAAAAAAACCTTGTGTAGCTACAGTTTGAGTTGATGGGTGTTAGCCTGCAAGTCGGTGAGCACATGCTGAATTTATTGGGACCGTCTTCCTTTTTGATTAACTCAAACTCTTTTCGTCATTGAAACTGGAGAACAGGGAGTTCCTCACTGAAAATGGCGCACAATGCCGGAAAGCGTTTGAATTCAACAAACCCGCGAGTGAAGACGACCTAATAAATGACCCTTTGCAGGTTCAGATACCTACAGTTTTTCGACCCTTGTGGCTGTATGTTCCATATAGTGTTCTGCTTCAGCAACATAAATCAGAAAAGAACAGAATGCAAAACGCACACTAAGACTAATAAAAGTTTTTATATAAATTCCATGTACTTGAATACCCCCGTATTAAACGAAACTAAAATTCACTCACGAATGAACGTCATCTTAAACTACTTGCTTTGAATGAAATTTGTCAATCAGTCACCATCAAGGGAGCGAAGGAGTCTCAAACGAAAAGACGCACGAATTTTTAGCTTCGTAGGTAGTTGCTGATAGGCATTGGACGTGTGTACAATAAATTTGTTTAAATTGAAAAAAAAAATAATAAGGCTCGGGTCGTTAATCTACATCCCATCAAAAACCCGAAAGAGTAACTAGATACTTCCGTTCGATCTTTTTATTACAAGTTTTAACTAGGTCACCCTGCCGCAACTGCCACAATAGCATTGGATTCGGAAAAACGTCATGATCTCACGATCGACGTCGATCGAGAAAACATTTCTTCAGAGTACACGTCCGACAAAATGTTTCCGGTCAACGGTTACGCGTCACATTGACGTTCAGCAGTACAAACAATTTTCCAGCTCGGGAAGAATACCAGTGATTTTTTTTCTTTCCTTTCAGAATAAAACGGCAAAAACCGATCTAGTGGTAAACGGTCCACCGGGAAGGTGGCGCGTATCGTCTGAACATGATTTTTCATGAGAACATCACACTGAAGCTATTAAATCGAGGTTTGTATCTTAAGAATATTACCCTTTATTAGAACACAATATTTCTAAGGGAGAACGAGATTTCGGATCTTGAAAATGCATCGAATTCCAACAGCTCATTTTCGGCTGATCCTCCGAGGTCTGCATGTTCCGATAGCATTTGATCGTAGTGAAATAAATGGGATAATAGAATAATGATGTATGAATTGAATAATGGCTGTTTAAAAATTACTTTCCGTTGGAAAAAGGTTCTAGTTAAAGAAAATATTCTTATCACTAAAACTATGGCCTCTACGGAGAAAGCGGACATGTTGGTCAAAAAACGAGCCAATATGAATTCTCTAGACCCCGAACCATATTTTGTCGTAGCGACTTGCTGCAAAACAAGGCCAACACAAATAGATCCTTAATGGCTGCCCAAAATCAGGGTCCAGTACCCTAAGCATGAGGCACGCGATGATTTCATAGAAGGGCCATCCGCAAGACTTATAAAGGTACTGAAAGGTAACCGCAATGGAACTACGATTCTGGTTGGGGACTCATTGACAGGGCACTGCCGCCTATACAAGCACACCAGTAGAAGCACAGACATACTGGCAGATACTGCCAGCCAGGAAGAAGAGACCGCAGAACATGCTTTATGTTTTTGTGAGGGTATATGTAAATGCAGATTCTTGCAACAAGAGATGAAAAGCCGCAAGAAAGATCCGACACCAAGATTCCACTGACAAGGATGTGGAGTTTGATTAACAACCTGAAGCTAGCCAATGAGTTATAAAAAATAGAGGAGCGTTAGATCTACCGTGTGGCCGCCTCTCATTTATCCCTATCCCTGTTCCTGTAGGGATTTCTTTCAATAATTCTACAGGAAAAAATCTAAAATGGAATCAATGAAATAAATTAGGACTAACAGATGATATTGCTAGCTCTTGTGGCCCTCGTATTTAACACAATAAAAGCCGTTCTCTACAATATGTAAGAACAGATTTTATCTCGCGTTACCTGTAAAGAAGTACGTATTATTATCTAATAAAGCCACAAGGAAAAAAAGTAAGGAAGTGGATCAACCTAAACCTCCAGGGAATAATTAGTGTGTTTTTGGTCGTATCTATTTTAGATTTCTTATTCAGTCCAATTTTTCTTTTTCTGACTTAGACTACATGTTAAATCCACTTGTCAAAAAATGCAAATAAGTCAACTACACCTTAATTTGGGTACAGTGCCTAATTTTAATGTTTCGCCTATCATATAAATAAACAATTTTTCTTCTCTAAATTAATTCAATTTATGTAATACATATTTTGCGTTTATCAGGCAATGCTTTTCGCTTTTGGCTCAAAGGTGGTCAAACATTATAAATTAATTATTAAGTAATAATGAACTCGTTTGAATTTATTATTTTCTCTTTTACACATAGGTGATACCAACCCTTTGCTCACCTGCAAACCTGTGGCCTACTAGTGCCATAGTAGGACAATCCCACCCGTCTACTAGTGCCATTACGTAAAAAATGGGTAAAGCCCTTGGAGAGACCAAAGGATTTGTCATGCGAAAAAAATAGAACGCGTCTTCATCTGGAATACTTTACACGGACAGTCCTGTCCTAACTCCCTCCAAAAAATAAGCACACTAACGATGAAAGAGATGCCCTCGAAAATCATATTAATTTCTTTCCAGGCGAAAGTCATTAGTGCCGAGCAAAAACCTCAAAAGTATATTTATTATCTGACTTAAATATTTCACGAGTGTGAAAACACACGGAGACACGATCCAATCTGACTTTAAAATCCGTTAAGCCGTTTTTGAATTATAGCCGTTTCAATAAGATTCCGATAACGGACTTGTCAAAAATCGAAAAAACTTAAGGGATCAAAAAAATAGATAAATTTAAATGCAAATAAAAATTTATATTTAGGGATCTCTTGAGGTGCTAAAACGAAATTTTACATTAGTGTCACGAGAAAAAAAATGACATAGTTCACCTGAAAAATATTTGGTTTTTAGACTTTTTTTTATTATTGATGAACTTTAATACATTTTTCTATATTTTTATTGCAATCTACACAAAAATTGCTATAACGAACATGTTCTTATTGGTTTTTAGTAGATTAGATTGCAATAAAAATATAGCAAAAGGTATTAAACCAATAGTCAAAAAAAAATTCCAAAAACCAAATATTTTTCAAGTAAACAGGTAATAATTTTTTTTTGTGAAACTAATATGAAATTTCGTTTTAGTACCTCTTGAGACCCAGAAATATACATTTTTGTTTGAATTTGAATTTATCGACTTTTAGACGCCTACATTTTTTCTGAAGTTGTGACCATTTTCTGACACACTTGCTTACAGTTTGTTAATTTTTATATCCTCGTTTACTTGTTTTTTTTTTTTGTTTGTTATCTGTTGTGTTTTTTGTTATGTAGCTTTTAGTATTGGTCCAAAACCTTAATCCACCAACCTGGTCGTCCCCTCGTCGTTCCATAATTATAACAATCCATTTATCTTTATTGGTCATAATTGGCCCTATTAATTATTTCAATTAATTATTATTTTTATGTAAGGTCTTGGTTGAGATGAAAAAGTATCACGAGCGGGATTCGAACTCGGCCGAAAGTCGTGGGTTCGAATCCCTCTCGTGACACTTTTTCACCTCAACCAAGACCTTACATAAAAAGCATAATTATAACGTTGATCATTAAATCCTAATTACGTTTCGGTTAGTTGGCTACATAAATAGTAGTCCAGGGCATTTATAACATTTTTTTTCCTTTGATTTTGAGTTTTTGACTTTTGTTACCAACCTTAACCAACTTTCCAATAGAGCTTTTTGCTAGTTGACAACTGTCACATTCGCGTGTTAACTAAGGACTGTTGATCATTTTTACATAGCGATCGTCTTAACCTCATAAATAAATACTTTAAAAAATAATTAATAGGTAATTAATAAATATATGTAAAGAGTCTAGAAAGCGAAGTTTACGTTTTTTCCAAGGGAATATCACAATTTTGTTATACTCGTATTTTACACGAGCTTTTTTTTCGCCATTGTCATGAAAACAATTGCAGAAATGACCCTGAATCGCAAAACGAGAATAATATGAAAAAAAATCTAACAAACGACAGAAGGAATTCGCGATGTTGTAAAAAAATACTTTTTTTCTAACTGACTCGATAAACGTAGTGGAAATAAATTAAGGAGATAGTTAAAAATTATTCTGAACTGTTTGTGTTGATAAAGGAAGGGTCGAAATCGGAGGGTTATGTCGCAGACCGAATTTGGTTCTAAGAGCAATATTTTCAATAAAAACTGTCATTATTTATTTATGTTTTGCATAAAAATTGTTTCTTAATGTTAATAAAGAAAAAGTACTGAGTCGGTACACTATTAACTAAAGCTTTTTCTACGTTCGCGGAGGCCGAACGTCGGGCGTCTCTCGTCTCGCGACACCCGGAGGAAAAATGTGTCACGGAAGCGGTTCGCCTTGAAGAGATAATCGTAAACTCGTAACGATCGTAAACGTAAACAATTTCTAAACTGCGCCGTTTTCGATTATTTACGAGATTATTTACGAATGGGGTGTATTTAATCGGGGGGCGAAGGAAAGGAAGGCAAACACTGTAAATAAGCCGTCGGGCGATCCGGGCCGGGGGTTGGAATTAAATTTTTCCCGTCGAGTCGTTAGACCCGAGAGGAGGAAAAACATCCTCGGGACGACCCTCGACTGGAAAAAAGCCCTTCTGCGTAATAATTCCGAGTGATAAGCGAAAAAGATAACCGACTGTCTTGTAACCTATTTAAATATTATTGTTAGTAAAATAATTTTGTACTCACTGCGACGGTGGATCGTTGACGGCCTCGGTCGACCGTAGCCTCAGTGGTTGAAGCAGGGCGAAGAGCCGGGTCGTCCCCTCGGAATATGGCCAAATTCCTCCAGTCGGAAGCGAACCGTTTCTACACAACACACGACGAGACGTCCGCCATTACTGATTCTCGATTTGTCAAACAACGCAGGCAAAGGTTACCCGGGCCACTGCCAGGTTGTCTCGATGAGAATGATGACATTGAGTGACGTCACCACCGCGACTCAAAATTGCTGTCATCCTTGGACTTCGGTACTTTCCTATTCATTATTTTCTTCAAATTAACCTTTTTCTATTTCAAATTAACCCTTTTGTCACATCAAATGAACCTTTTTTTATTTCAAATTAACCCTTTTTAGCTTCAAATGAGCCTTTTTTTTAAATTTCAAATTAACATAAAGGGTTAATTGAAATAAAAAAGTTCAGTTGAAGTGAGAAAATAGTTAATTTGAAATAAAAAAAGGCTAATATGAAGTGATAAAGGGTTAATTTGAAATTTGTAAAAATGTTAATTTGAAGGTAAAAAAGGGTTAATGTGAAATTAAAAAAAAGCTCATTTTGAAATTAAAAAGGGTTAGTTTGAAATTTTAAAAAAACGGTTAATTTGAAGTGAAAAAGGTTAATTCGAAAAAAAGTTAATTTGAAGTGGAAAAAAAGTTAATTGAAGTGAAAAAAAAGGTTATTTTAAAACAAAAAGGCTAATTTCAAGTGAAAAAGGGTTAATTTGAAATTTAAAAAATGTTAATTTGAAGTGAAAAAAGGGTTATTTGAAATATTAAAAAAACGTTAATTTGATGTAGAAAAAAGGTTAATCTGAAATAAGAAGGGTTCATTTGATGTGAAAACGCTTAATTTGAAAAAAAAATTAATTTGATGCGAAAAAAGGTTAATTTAAAATAAAAAGGCAAATTTGATGTGAAAAAGGGTTAATTTGAAGTGAAAAAAGGGTTAATACTTAATCTGAAATTTAAAAAAGTTCAAATGAAGTGAAAAATGGGTTAATATAAACATAAATTTGTAGTTTAAAAGGGTTAATTTTACACACACACACACACGCGCGCGCGCGCGCACAAAAGCTACATTTAATCACACTGTAACACAGTTGGATAAATTCTCAAATGCAAATAATTTTACTTCTTCTTCTTTCTTTTTTCACATCAAATTAACGCCTTTTTAAGATCAAATTAACTCTGTTTAGCTTTAAATGGTCCTTTTTTAAAATTCAAATGAACCATTTCTTTATGTTTTAAATTAATCCTTTGTAATTTGAAATTAATCCTGTCTTTAAAATATCACGAACCTGGGAGTTGGTATGAATGTAAACAGGGAAAGTAAATAAAGGGTTAATCTTTTCATAGGAATGACTAAAGACCGGATCAGCTTAGACTTAACAAATTTTGAAAATTTCTTCTTTTGTTAAATGAATCCCTCATCTCCCTTCACTATTAAAAAAGGAAATGATCAGCCTATAATTGTTCTTGTGTTAAGAAAGGAGGGAGGGAAGGAGAGAGGGTGAGAGAGAGAGGGAGAGAGAGAGGGAGAGAGGGAGAGAGNGGGAGAGGGAGAGGGAGAGGGAGAGGGAGAGAGAGAGAGAGAGAGTAAAGAGGGAGATGATGTTACATGAAGAGATGATATAACATATAGACATTTATTGACACGTTTTTTTTCGACCATAACAATTTAACTTCTGATTTTCCCTTCTCGAAGGTGGGATAATAGGTCATCTCAAAAAAAACCACCAGTTTTTTCACAATCCACAACGTTTCGGATTTATTTTAATCTTTCCTCAGGTGAGTTAACGCAGTGGTTAAAACATGGATCGTCAGCCATTAATATTTTGTAACAGCTTATTTTAAAAGAAGCAAGTGTGATATATATTTAAGTCCTTCAGACTCCGAAAAAAACCATTTAATATTTTCATCTTGAATAGTATCATTTATTGATAGTTAACAAATCGGCGGAATTAATTTTATAATGTTTGTCACAGAAGAGACACCAATTAAAGAAACAATTACTAGATTAATAAAACATTTATTAAATTTATCTCAACCAAAACCTTAATGAATTGAAAAGAATTTATTTGGTCAAGCGGGCCACGGAACCTAATAAAATATAAAAATAAAACTTATTAAAATTAATAATTAAAAAAAATTATTCCGGTACCGGGAATCGAACCCGAGCCTCCTGGGTGAGAGCCAGGTATCCTAGCCACTAGACCATACCGGATCATGCCTTTTCTTCGTTCTAACTATACTTATACAGTATCAAAATGCTCTTATAAACCATACACTTGTTTTTTCTTAATGATGGTACGATATACTCATCCAACCTTAATTATTTCTACCATACATATTTTTTTCACAAAATTTCCTTTCAAATTGCTGTGTGGTAAATTTTTAATATGTACTGCAATTAATAATTTGTCGAGGAATAATATTAAACCACGAATCCCTGATGTGAATGTTGAGAAACATTTGAATTGAAATCACCAACAATAATTTAGGATTGTTTTTATTCATCCACTACCCTGCCTATATGTCTATCGTTCCTAGTAGTCACTGAAGATCCTAGCTGTGTGGGGCCTTGCATTGACATACATAAAAATAAAACTGTTGCCAATTAGTAGAAATAAGGAACGTTCAGATAACACATCTTCAATGTATCGTGCTGCCTTAGGGAACCATCGATGAAGTTTGTGCGACCTTCCATAGAAATACATGCCCAAACCATAGCTTCTAAGTAGTGAAAATGTTGCGGGACTATATCGTTCTCCTATTCTTGTCCAAACCCTCTCTCAGTCAGAAATCCTCAAACAAAACCTTAACTTAACCGAAAACAATGTTTTAGTCAAGTCTTGTTCAGACCAACGGATGTGATTTTTTGCAAAACTTAACAAAACTGTCCTGTGCCTTGTCAGAAGTTCTGGACCATTTACATGGCCTTCTTGCACGTAAATGTCTTCTCCCTACAGTACACAAACTGACATTAACATTTCTATATTGTTGAAGTTGTTGCTTGATCTCAACAGTGGTAGAATGTCGATTAAGGAGTACATTCAAAACAATAAAACGATCATCTCTCTGAGAAGTAACACGATGGCGACCTTCTTGAATAACCTCTAGTGTCTTTTTTTATTTATTACTAAAAAATTTTATTTTAGTTCGGCTGTATTTTCTTCAACTACTATTAATAATTTATTAAATTCCTCAATGAGTTCATTGATTATTGAATATTGCAAATTTATTTGTTTTTCAAAATTAATTTGACAACCTTTTAGATTTTCAATATCTTTATTAAATTGAGCTCCATCGAAAGAATCTAGTTTACCTGTAATAAATTTTATAATGGTTCCTAATCCATTAATTAAACCTCTTTTAGTTCTAATATTGTTTGTATTTTTTACAAAAAATATTTCTAACTTTTCTAATATTATTCCCCTAGTATTATTTATTAATGCTAAATAAGTTACAATGTCTTTTAATTTTCTACCATTATCAGTTACATATTCTACATTATTTTTATAGTTAATATTTTTATTATTAATACAGTTATACATTTTATGATAAATTTTATTCAAGTTGTGTAATTGTTGAAACAATAGGTCAAATTTAATATAATGAATGAAAGTATGCTTTGACATTTCCAACCTGGCTGGACCAAGATTTATGGGTATTATCCCAGGGTTATGCAAAATATCTATTATATCGGCTCCTGATGTGTTGATTCCAAGGAGATTGCAACATTATCGTTTCGCATTAATTTTCTTGGTCTTTTAATATTTGAAAAGAGTATTTTTCCTACGTGTTATAATGAGTTGGGGCTATTTCTGCCGTTTTTAAATTTTTATCAACAGATTTTATTTTTTCCTTCTTATACTTATTTTTTGTTTTTGTTTGTATCTGCTTATTTTTAACAAAAACGTCTTCAGGGATTTCTGGCAAAAGTTCTCTTTTTTTTTAAATTTTCAATTGAAGTAGCTTTATTTATTTCACTACATTCACTAATTTTAGAATACAACAATTTTAGTTTTTCTTTGTGATTAATAACATAATTATGTATTAACTGTGCCTCTATGTCTATTTCTAACATTGGGTCATTTTCAATGTGCCCGTTTAATATTTCAAATGGGGTTAATTTTGTACCAGAATGGATACTATTATTGTAAGCAATGAGTGCGTATTTTACTTCTGATCTGATTGAATCTTTTTTGTAAATTTCCTGATTGTTTAATAATCTAGTATGTTCTATAAGAGTGAAGTGAAATCTTTCTACTGGTCCATTAGAGTCTGGATGCTGTGAATAAATAAAGTGAATTTTGATCTTGTGTAACTTCATTAGATCTTTTATCAAACTGGTATTAAATTCAGGGCCGTTATCCGTAATAATCTGCTGAGGAAGACCATGATGAGCAAAGTAATTCATTAAGGTGTTAACAATTTCTATGCTATTAGAGGAGTTTAACAGGTATAATTGTGCATACTTTGAGAACGTGTCAATTATTGTAAGGAATTTGGAATTTACCAGAGTTAGCTTATCAATATGAATAATGGAGAAAGGTTTTGTAGATGTTGGTGTGATATTGTACTGGATGTTAAGAGGGACTCTATCATACTTTGATAATTGGCAAATCTCACAACGGTTAATAAATTCCTGCACAGATTTTTTCTGGTTAACCCAAAAATATTTTATTTTTTCAAAGGTTTCATTGCCTGCTGTGGTAATAATAGAATATTTATACTAACATGCTTACTAACCTGACTACGATCAGAGAGAGTTGAATTACACTTTGTAATTCTCTCCTGGGGAAAAGAAAAAAATTAAGTTAAAATCAGAGATTGGTAAACGAAGTACATAAAAAAATACGTATTATATAAATGATAATTACCCTCTGAAAGCAAAAATCCTCGCCTTAAAACAGCTACGATGAACCAGCCAGCCCCTACAAAAGAAAAAAAGCAAAAAATGTATAAAGCCTTCAAAAAATTAAATCCAGAAGTCATCTATCAGATACCACGAAAAATTGTATTAAATGTAACAGTAACTTCCAAAAAAGAGGAATATGATTTAGAGTACAAATATTAAGTACAATCGATACATTTATATTTACCAAAAAAAAAAGTTATTATTACTGTTTGCAAC